AGACTCAAAATCGATCCGTGGAATGAATATAGTCTTTCAATGAATGCCCAAAGTTGGTTAGGTGAATATTGATGTAAATTGTTCCTCGTGATGGGTAGCATGGTTTTAAAGAGCCTGACATAACGCATCGGTGATGGTAACAGATTTAAATCCTTTGATTAGAGAGGCTTATTTTGCAAATAGTTATCCTTAATTTAGCAGGTTTTTCTAAACATTGTTTTGGTTAGTGAAAGGAAAGGATACGTTGTCACCCAAACGTTTAGCCAGCGGACAATGATTTAATCTAAGTTTAGCCTTTTTATTCAAAGGTGAGGATTTGGAACAGTCTCTTTTTACGTTCCTTTCTTTCTATTCCTTTCATCTTTGGACCTGTCCTTTGTGTTGTAATCCTTATGTTTAGTCATCTTTTCGTCACTGGTGCCATGTCTGTTAAATCCTTTTGTGGACGATCTTGTGTTTCCCTTGCGCTCTCTTGTTTCTTTAATCTCATCATTGATCTCAAATTTTTGTATTCATTTTCGTTGCTCTTTGTTTTTTGACCTTGTATTGTTTCGCCTTAATCAATGATACCATAAACATTCTGGTTCCTCAAAGATCAGATATGTCAATTCCATGAACTTCATATTTCGTGACTTGTAAGCTTCTTGTGAAGAATTTTCGGCACTGGACAGCGCTAAGCGTTTTGAGAAGTGAGCGCAGTAAATTAACTAGTTTTCCTCCGTTACAAAGTCAATTATTCACCTTAAGTGCGTTATTGTGTCATGTGATGATGACACGTGCAAACGGGTACAATGAGAAACGCCCCAAATTCTTTTCGTGGCCAAGTTTACACTACAGATTTCAGAACAAAATGAAAGATGCTCGATAGTACATTACCCAAAACAAACAAAACGACATATGGCTATATTTTGTAATAAAACGTTTATGTTAAAGTTACCATTCGCGAAAATTAAGTAATGATAAAACAAAAGTATTGGAAATTACAATAAAGTGTTCTTTTGCGTATTCTGGGTCGGTTCCATTTTTTTTTTCAAAAGTATGAATATTAGATTCTCTAAAGAGCGTAGATTTGTATAAACTTTTGCACTGTTCGCCACATGAAGTCAAACAAAGGCGAAGAAGGAACTGAGATCTTGCGCGAATAAAAGCTGGCTTTGTCGGTATTTTAAACTTCCAGCGCTAAATTACTTGGGAGCTAGTGTTCCAACTCGCTAGCACGCGCAACACCAAAAGAAACAAACATTGAAAATACCTACAGAATGTACTTTGACTTGATGGGTAAATTATTCTTAAGCGTTAAAATTATGGCTGAGAGTTAACATCGAAATAGGAAATGCTTTGCAAAAAATGAAAGAGAAAAACTCATAAACGAAATGTTCAGTTTGGTGGTGAGAAACCGCCAAAGTAAATGTTCTCCTCATAATATGATTTTGAAAGTAGCAGCATTTTTTTTTTTAAAGAAAAGAGATATTCATGTATTGGGCTCATCTCGCGTCGAAGGAGATCCAAAAGCGGCTATCCAAGTAATTAATTTGGATTCAAAAAGTTCTCTTGCAAGGAACTTTCTTCATTCATATAAAGATTTCATAAGCAACAACTCTTTCAAGCGACTATTCGCATTCATAATTCAAGAAAACCTAATTCAATTAACATGCACACATCTACAAACTTGTAATGTTCTTCTTCGAAGCTTCGTTTGCTTTAATTTCTAGAATTAACAATTTCATAATATAGAATCTTTTCGTTTCTACGATCATCTTAATATCATTTTTGCTAAATAAACAGGCCGCAAAACGACAAATTATTTACTGCGATAATTGTGATTTTGCGCATTTGCGGGGTAAGCGATTTTGCTTATACGTAGTTGTGTGGGAAGTAACCTCGTCCATGACTCCGCATAAACTGAGTCTACAACGCGACGATCGTATGATCTTTTTTTCTTCTATGTGACAGCACAAAACTGCATTAACCTATTGCGCCATAGCCAAGCAGAATGTTTTGACCCGCTGGGCGGTATTATCCTAATTTCCCGACAGGACGTGCGATATTACGTATCCCACAGTTCTCGCCTTGGGAAATAAAATCAGTTTTGACTAAAAAATTAACCTTCAACTAGGACTCGACAAGACAATGTCAAATCCGATGCTCCCATTTAAAAATAATTCTGTAAAATTTGCTTTGATCTCTCAGCCTTAAATTTTTTACGCCCGGACACTTGAGTTCGTTGGCAAATCCCAAGCTAAAGAAAATCACCAAGTCTTACTTTGTATTAGTTGCGATATGTGCTTTAATCACTGCGTGTATTTCAAGTTGTTGCATTTAAATTGTTCATGGTTCCTCCTTTTTGAAAATGGTGTCTTCATTGTACGAAAAGTCATTATATTATGACGTTTTTTTTAACTAACTTGGAAATTGTGTTTTCTCGGGGCAAAATCTTTTCTTTTCATTTCTTAATGATCAAACCGCAAGCAGTGTTTAATCGCTAGATCTTTCCGAGATATTGAACAGGACACACTTTGGAAGTGTCTTTAGCGTTTCACCCATTAGTTCGCACACAAAAAGCATGTCCTTATCTCAAGTCGCCGGTTTCCTGTGAAAGCTTCATGCGAGGTGATTGCTTATTTCTTTGAAAGTGCGGAGTGACGTCTCAAACCATTTCGAATGAACTTCTAGTATTTTCAATTTATAATTTTGTTATTTTTTTTTTCCATTATCAGTTATATCTCCGTCTTAGTATTTCGTAAGCACATTACAAAACAAGTTCTGAACTTGCTTCGTTATTCCGCACTGTGGTTGCGTGCAATTAATGGATTTAGCTTCTCTAGTGCCTTGTTTCTCAATGAACCCCCATTTGTGTCTTCCTCGCCGCGCTATTAAATTTTTTTTCTCACTTGATTTTTTGATCGCTCAAGTAATAATTTTTTGAAGCGCTTGGCTGAAATTTCATCGCTTTATTGGGTGTGTCGCTGCTTAAAACTCTTACAATAAGATCTTCAATCTGGCATAAGAAAGATGTAGCAAAGGAGTGTTCTTTATTTTATTATTATCGAACGCAGCCTTGTTTATTTGGTAGAAAATTTTAAGGCGCTCTATTTCAAACTTGAAAACGATTGTTATTGATTTTGTTTTCTCACAGACGCGCCTAATTAAGTTTTCCTGTCTTCTTCGGCTAAATTGTGTCTTGTTGGTAACTCGTTTCAAATCTCTTGCCAGAAATCTATTTTTTTTACGGTATTCTTGCTATTTTTCAGTTTTGGAAGACTGTGCGCCGTTATCTTTTTGTTTATGGGCGAAATTTTTCATTCGGCGACGAAGTAGAATCAGTTCGAATAAATCGGAAGGGAGGAATTCCCTATTCTCTTGGATAATACCTGTGAGACTCTCTCCTTTCACGAAAACGATAAAAACACCTGCCACCTCATTAGCATGAAGGAACCTTTCTGAAGCAATTAATTTCCCTGAACTGATGCGTGAAACTTTTCTTGGTACTTCCTGAATCTGAAAACTAATTCTCATCCCAGCTCTGTGAAGCATTAGATAGAAAGCATTCACACTAAAAACATAAAAACAGAGAAACGCACTTTCAACGACATGCAAAAACGCCAGTTGGTGTTTCGCGAATTGCAGCGCATGCGTGACTAGTTCGACTGACAGGTCCAAAACATAAAGCTCGGAGGGAAAATACGATACGATCTCATATTTTAAAATGCTTGTCTAAATAGTGTGCGGACGCATATCCGCTTCGATATTGAAACTTGCGGCGGTGGTGAAACGGATTATTTGCATGAGTGCTACAGAACATACAAGCGTGTACACAATAAAATTGTATTAGCGAGCCAATGGTATTGTTTGCCGAGGCGTAATTAGAGCCAGTGATAATTATGACAGTGGTTTTGTGTGAGGCACGTGTCTTATTCGATCGGAAGCCTCGGAAATTGACAACCCACGAGACCAAAACAAATTCTAAGCGTAAAGAGAGAATTGAAAGACCTGCGGGAAATTATGTGAAAACTACGCGCTGCGCGTAACACCTAAGAAGTTTACTTCGTCAACAATGAGAAGAACAACGACAAAATCCAATGGCAGAAAAATTTTTTTCTTTAGTGCTATTGTAAGATCTAGCGGTAACGTGCAATCATGATAAAAGGCTTCTCTCTTGCTTCCGACATTTAAGTGAAGTATTCAGAACTCTCTTTTGATGAATTTCCAATGTTCATGAATGCTTAATTTTTTGTTCTATAGATCGAGTACAGCTTGAAATGTAAATGAACGGTTTCCTTTTAAGCAACCCAGTCACTTTCAATAAATAATTAATTCTCCACGGCGTAAGTTTCTCCGGCCTGCGGAGAATATTCATTGAACTAGTATATTCTTTAGAAAAAATACTAAAGCAAAATTTTTCGATACAAGCATACTGTTCTTATTTTAATAGATAATTTTATTCATGTATTTTCTTATCCATCATCGATTTTCTCAATTTGTGACAGTCTCTTCTTTTTCTCGTCGAAAGAGAATTTTTCTGAAAAGAAAAATAATTTACAAGCAGAATGTAAGAGAATACGATCAATTTGATTTATTTTACATATATATGACTCTCTTTTTTCTACAAAATTCAATGTCTTTTCAAAAGGGAATAATTTATTCGGCGATCCAACAAGAAAGCAAGATAAGCGGAGAGTTTTTGACAGCTTATCTCGACGGTTAATGTTAAATTGCGCTCGAAGGCCGCGTATAAATAATTGTATTTTGAAATTTGTTTTCGGCCATTTTCGGGCTGTATGTTCTGTTTATCGAGCAACCAAATTTCTCTTCGGCGGTTGTTTCACAAATCCGCGCTGAAAATATGATTTTTTTCCTGATTCAGTAGAAGTAAATATCTTTTCCCAGTCTTTGTTTTCGTGCAATCTGGTTTTATCTCACTTGTTCCCAATAGCTTGTGGTACATTCAGTAAGTTGTTTATCCTCAACGAATGAAGCGTCTTTCCTCGAAAAAATTTCCATCATAGTTTGAGCGCTTCTCCGTCAGAATGATGTGGAAACATTGGATGTCTGCCGCACTCTTGGCTGACCACAGGCGAAAACCGTCTTGCCAAATTCGTTTTTGTACTCCTCTTCAGTTTTCTAAAGCAGAAAAGAAAACAAGGCGAAGTTAGAGGTTGTACAAAAATTATTAAAATCGATCTCGATTTGAATGACTGAAGGTGCTCGCTTTCGTGAAGTAAATGTCGCATATTGTAAGGGCGTTACCCTGGCAAAACACGTCCTAGTAAGCTCGATCTTAACTGTGTTCTGAAAATGACTGTTATTTTACTCTACTTATACGTTAGGAAAAGAAGAATAAACCGAGCAATGTTGTAATGATGATATACCCATCTGTTTCAAAGCGGAAAGTTATTCCTTCTTGAACTTCCTGACCAAAGATGTCGCTAGCTTGTCAATGAAAGAAAACGTTTATAATGCTAAACACATTGTTCACCGTCTAAAAATGGTAAAAATAAGGAATACGCAGAATTATTTCAGCCGTCAGGAAGAAGTAGGAGACTGAAGTGTTTCAAAATAAAATTTTTAAATTTAACCGAAGCGGAAACAAGTGCTAGGTGATTCAGTGCGATGCCAAATTATTTTAACGATGTCGAATTGAACTGCGCCTGACGACGGCCCAACTTAACAAACACTTTATCAGCTACGGACGATACACACGTTACCACAGAAGTAAATTTTCCCCTCAAAAGAAGGCCATGAACCTAAAACATACGCTGAAAGACTCGTAGAATCGATTTTACAACCGACCGTCTTTAGGGCTGTTTGAAAGATAATGAAAGAAGTGCGTGTCGGCGCGAACGGAGTTGAAGCGGCGCACGTACGTACGATTGATCAATGACTGGCCTGTGATACAGTGATTGTAGTACTTACAAAGTCAGACGCGGTTATCCAACTCTGGGTTTGTGTACCAGCTGCTTCATGTTCAGTTTCCATTTGATGTTTATTGGCCATCGCCAGAACGTGTTGCAGGTGCCGTATGTAGTCGATTGCGCTACGCAGCGTTTTAACTTTGGACAGTTTCTTGTTTTTAGGGTCCGTAGGCACGTGTTTTCGCAGTCGCATAAAGCCGTCGTTGACCAGTTTAACACGCTTTCGTTCCCTTGCGTTCCGTCGCGCTACCACGGCCGGTTCTTTTTGCTTGGCGCTAGTAGCTGCCCTTCGTCGACGGGTTTGGCCTAATACAGGTGATAACAGCGATATTTTAGCTGGGGGCCTCAAAACATCCGAGCCTCCTTCCTCGGTCCTTTGATGCGGATAGCAAATAGTCGTCGTTGGGATTGTAAAAGCTGAACTTTTTGGCATATCCTTCACAGACATTGTTTACGCCGGACTCTCGCCCAATACAATGCAATGTTTGAATCTAGCTAGCGCCGGGCGCACTTCAATTTATACTCGGCTATACTCTGACCCTGTGCCAGGCTCGCGCCGTATGTTTGTTGTGCTAATTCAGTCAAGAGCTCTGACACGCGCCATGTCAAACAGAATAATTCAACTCTATTGGCTGGTGCCGCGAGATAATGACCAATGACAGCGCGTGAATGGCACTCGAACGGTTTCCGCGCGCAAAGACCGATTACGTTGTTGTCTTAAGCGCATATAGTACCGAATGTCATTTCCTCTATTACCCACCGTGGTTACAATTTACTTGCGTCGTATTTCCGCCTTGTTTTAACACCCCGGCGAAATGCTGCCGACATTTGTAGATGACCTATATTCTCCCATAATCAATTTCGCCAAGTCGTAATTTTCTCTGATAATGGGTCTTCTATTATTTTCGTTATTAATTAATGCTTTTTATAAACGACAAAGATATGACAGGACAAATAAAAATTGCTTGTACCCATAGAAAATTACAAAAACGTTTTCTTAGAACATGATGTGAAAATTGGTCGGCGTGTCATGTATATTGTAGTCACCAAAGATTATTTTACATCGATGTGCCTCTAATGTTTATCGCTTTCATCCTGAATTCTATTCGCGAGTTTTTGGATTTTAATTTTCATTGTTTTACGCGATTCTATTATGGTCGCTTCTGAAGGATTTATTAACAAGTGAAGCAAAACAGTCATTCATGAGAAGTTTTCATTTACAGACCCTGGTTGGGAGATCAATTTCGCTCTGTATGGGTTTTTTAATTGTTGGCGCCATCTGCCGCCTTAGAAGGGGAGACACGTGCCCTCAATAATTCATACTGACTGCGTTATGGGGCCAGAGGCTGTAATACGCATGCTCCGTGTGTGGGGAATTTACACCTGTCATACTAAGCAACGATTCTGGTGAAGTTTTGGTGATCAAGATTCGCTCCATCATGCTACGCTGGTAATTCATTAAAAATGAAGCCGTGAGTCTCCCGACAGATTGTGGAAATCTCGTTGTGAGTGAATGTTAACGGGCATTCTGAACCTACGTTTTCTTCTCTTTTTGTTGGCGGCCCTGTTTTTGACAATGGCCATTCATCGAGCTGAAAAACAAAACAATCTGCAGCCTTTATGAAGAATAATGGGGAAATTCGCCATGCTTAGTTATCAATAGACCGATTAATTATTGGTTTTGTTTCGCGCCTGTTTTGCTCTCAGCTAGACAAGTGAATGTTTGGGTTTTCTTCCTGTTTCGTGTCTAACGCCAAATAAGAAAACTCCGCCTAGGGCTTATTCTTTAAGTTTCGGATAACATAGTAACCACGTGACATTGCGTCCAGCTAAAACTTGAAATGTTGATGGTTGAAATGTCTTGATGAACGCAGTAATAATAGGAATATCACACGATAGGGATGTTTGTCGCATGATTCACGACCCAATATCACACACCGCTTTAGAAAAACCTTTCAGGTGTCTCTCTATGCGTTTCACACTAAGGTTTCTTGTTATATATTGAGCGTTTCGGTCTGCGCTACAAAGCAGATCTTTGGAGACCTCCTGCGCAGGCTCATTTGACGTGTTACGTGAAGGAAGGGTCATAGTTTACTGATCCCCGCGCACTTTTCCTTAAAAGTCCCTCAAGATGCTATCGTCAGGATAATTGGCAAATAAGAAAAAGCTTCTTTACTTGTTTTGAGTTAAGATGTTAGCAAAATAGTCAATATTCCATAATTTTACTTTCCTTAAGTTGTATAGAAAATTGCTATAGCTTTCTGAATAATACGAAGCCTTAAGTCAAATCAATTAAACATAGTAGCCCGTCCGTCCATTACTAGTGTTTAAATAAAAAATTTTGATATCGCCAAGGGGCAATATGTTAATTCATCGACGAGCCCTCCAACTAGTAACTCTATCCTAATTGATTATTACGACCAGTCAGCTTGTTAACTTCTCCAAAGAGAAAGGGGTTTTTTCGGTGTGAACGCAATCTATCCTGACAATTTTCTGATGCTATGCACCAGTATTTGTTAATATTGACCTGCTGTATAATTGTATAGTTAACTTTTTTTTAGTTTTTTTTTCAAACTTTTAGGGTATGCGAAAGGTTCCTTAATTTATTTTATCGGCTACAGCAATAGTTGTTCATGACAAAAAAAAAATAGCTTACTCCTAAGATCACTAACGATTGTCAAATTGTTAACCGAGTGGTTAAGCTAATAGATGCAAATGGATCGCGGCGGCTTTGTTTGCGCTAATTTCCTTTTCGCCCACGCATAAACCGGTTCTTTAGCAGCATTTTACCGCGCTGTTTTATATGTCTTTTTTTTTATATCGCTCTGTTAGAGATGCCGTTGTAATTCTGCTTATTGGTCTTTTATGCTTATCATAACATACACTTGTCTGGTTTTGACATGTCCAGTTTGTCACAAAAGCTTAGAGTATGTATTAAGACACCTTTATTTTACTTGACAATAAGTAGCAACACTGAAAAGAAAATTAATGATAAGTGCATACGGCAAACTTGTTAGCTGCCAAATCAAGTTGTCTCCCAGTCCCAATTAATCTTTGCTTCGTAAAATTGTTCCTCCTTTTGAATAGATTACGTGTTTGCCTCTGTTGAGTCTTCGACGTTTCGGAAACGGCGCGGATTTTTTTAAAAATTAATTTACATTAAATATTTAACCCAATAATAGCCAAACGTGGATCAAATGTTTTTGTTCGCCTTTTTGTCATCTGCTTACATGGCCTGCTAGTAGTTGTGGTAATGCCAGATCGAAGACTAAAATGTCTTCATCGTCAACCCGCTGTAAAATTCACAAGTTGAGGGATGTTGGCAAATCATCATAATTATGTACAGTAGGATGACATTTTGAAGGTTTTGAAAATTCAGTAGCTTACACACAGCAGAAATTTTCTATTTTTTTTTTGAGGTATTGTTTGGAACTTGATATGGAATTTCAATTTGCACGGAGGTATTTGCCTCAGTCGAGGCCGCAGTTTTCAGTGATTGCTGAAACTGAAAGTGAATTTGCAGAATAGATCAATAACAAGCATTGCAAGGATGCGTTTAGAATGGATTTGAAAACGTGGTAATGTAGCTGCATAGTATCTACCGGAAAGTACTTCATTAGGAAAGCTCATATCGTTCACTGGATGTTTGCAAAACCGGCCGGAGACAGATGTTTTGCATCACACAGCCATTTCGGTCCTGACTGCTATGATTTAAGTCCATTTTTAAACCTTTACAAGTATCTTTTTAATGTTTTCCGAGTGAAAATACCGAGGCAAAAACTCCAATGACTGATTTGTTTTTCAGTTAGCATTCAATGATAATCCTTTTGTTACGAAGTGAGTGTATAGCGCATTATGTCGTGAACTACTTAAAAGATAAAATCTTTTCATCGTGGAGGAGTTTTTGGAACAAAAATGGTCTCTATCTAAAGAAATTTTCGAGTTTTTTATTTTATCTCTTCAATTTGTCATTTAGATCACCCATCCGACGTTTTGATTCCAATGCATTGTGTGGATGTAGCTGTAGGTCTGCCTCAAGGAAGCCAGGCTGACATGCTACTAATCTTAATTTAGTAGATTTTATTTTCGATTTTTTAACCGTTGTAATGCGTTTCCTTCGTCTGATATAAGCCATCACAATTGTGCCATGGAACTTTCATTGATGTAGTGGTTTTATATCCTAATGTACACTTTGGATTTACCAGTCGTAGTCGCGGTGCCTATGTAACAGCTTAATGTTTAACGATTTAGAAAAATGATTAATTTTCGTGGTTAGAGTAAGAGTTTTAAAGAAAGGACTAAATTTGACAAATCACTCATTGCCGCTGAACTCAAGCCGTTTAAGGGCCATCATCTACTCTATTTTGCTAAAGCCTTCTCGGATTTTTGTTTTTGTTCTCCTTTGTTTCCTTAAAAAGATGAATCTTCTTTTTATTAGTGGTCCTATAATTTATGATAGCTCCTCTATCATAGGCCCAGTTGACTGAATTTTCTATTATTACGATCGCCCCAGAAATAATTCTCAAGCTATCGGGACGATTATATAAAAACCAGGCCAAACGAACACAAACGACCCGGATGAGTTTATCCTCGAGCCTAGTTTTCCAAATGGATAATCCAGATGCTGGTCATTCAAGTGTGGTCTGCCGCTCACATTATTATAGTTTTGAAACTTTGAGTTTTACGTGGTTTTGCCGATTCAATAACCAATAGCTTTGGACCAATCAGAGCGCGCGTAGTACTCAGGTTTTGTAAGTTGCGCGAATTCATGCAAACGCAATAAAATGCTAGAGTAGATGGGAAATCAAAACTTTCATTGCCATTTATCACCTGTCTTACTTGTATGTTTTTGTATGCTTTAGTCTGTTTTGTATATTTGGCCTATTTTGTTCATAAATATGCAGTGTCATATTCAGGGCACGTGAAAAAAAAATTAATAATTTGAAGTGAGTATTCCATTATCAGTTTGATATTTTCGGAATTCTTGGGTTTTATGTCCAAGCGCTGATGCTATTTTTGGTTTTCTTTTCAAATTTTCGCAATTAAACAACAGCCACAAACACGAGATAAGCCCCTTGAAAAAACGATCCTGGTTTGGCCACTTTGCTTAACGCCTTCTCTACCGAGAGAGACCAAAAAATAATTTCTCCTTACAATCTCAATATACTGTCAATCAGAGAGAGATGACGAGAATAATATAAAAATATAAATTAAGGTTTATTTTGTAATTTAAGTCCAAATTCTCAGAACCTATTTGATGAGAAGTGTATGATAGACGGTAAAAAGCAAACAGTATCAGACTGAGAGTAAACAATGAAAGCTGGGCTCGCCTCATGTAATCTGTTGGACTTCTTGAATTTCCTCTTTCTCTACAACGCTCCCCTTTGCAGTTTTCCCGAATTGAAGTTTTTCGCTATAGAGCTTCCTACTTCGTAAAACTGGAACCAC